AAAGCGGGGGGGTTGGGGGCGGCGCAGACCCCCCCCCATTTGCAAACACAATGCGTGCATGATGGGTTTCAAAAAAAGTTTCATATGCTTTGAAGCAAGCTTGCACGGCTTAAAAAAAGCGGGGGGGTTGGGGGGGGCGCAGCCCCCCCCATTTGCAAACACAATGCTTGCATGATGGGTTTCAAAAAAAGTTTCATATGCTTTGAAGCAAGCTTGCACGGCTTAAAAAAAGCGGGGGGGTTGGGGGGGGCGCAGCCCCCCCCATTTGCAAACACAATGCTTGCATGATGGGTTTCAAAAAAAGTTTCATATGCTTTGAAGCAAGCTTGCACGGCTTAAAAAAAGCGGGGGGGTTGGGGGGGGCGCAGCCCCCCCCATTTGCAAACACAATGCTTGCATGATGGGTTTCAAAAAAAGTTTATGCTTTGAAGCAAGCTTGCACGGCTTAAAAAAAGCGGGGGGGTTGGGGGCGGCGCAGCCCCCCCCATTTGCAAACACAATGCTTGCATGATGGGTTTCAAAAAAAGTTTCATATGCTTTGAAGCAAGCTTGCACGGAAAAAAAAGGGGGGGGGTTGGGAGGGGCGCAGCCCCCCCCCATTTGCAAACACAATGCTTGCATGATGGGTTTCAAAAAAAAAGTTTCATATGCTTTGAAGCAAGCTTGCACGGCTTAAAAAAAGCGGGGGGGTTGGGGGGGGCGCAGCCCCCCCCATTTGCAAACACAATGCTTGCATGATGGGTTTCAAAAAAAGTTTCATATGCTTTGAAGCAAGCTTGCACGGCTTGTTGGGGGGGGCGCAGCCCCCCCCATTTGCAAACACAATGCTTGCATGATGGGTTTCAAAAAAAGTTTATGCTTTGAAGCAAGCTTGCACGGCTTAAAAAAAGCGGGGGGGTTGGGGGGGGGCGCAGCCCCCCCCATTTGCAAACACAATGCTTGCATGATGGGTTTCAAAAAAAGTTTCAACGCTTTGAAGCAAGCTTGCACGGCTTAAAAAAAGGGGGGGGGTTGGGGGCGGCGCAGCCCCCCCCATTTGCAAACACAATGCTTGCATGATGGGTTTCAAAAAAAGTTTCATATGCTTTGAAGCAAGCTTGCACGGCTTAAAAAAAGCGGGGGGGTTGGGGGGGGCGCAGCCCCCCCCATTTGCAAACACAATGCGTGCATGATGGGTTTCAAAAAAAGTTTCATATGCTTTGAAGCAAGCTTGCACGGCTTAAAAAAAGCGGGGGGGTTGCGCAGCCCCCCCCATTTGCAAACACAATGCGTGCATGATGGGTTTCAAAAAAAGTTTCATATGCTTTGAAGCAAGCTTGCACGGCTTAAAAAAAGCGGGGGGGTTGGGGGGGGCGCAGCCCCCCCCCATTTGCAAACACAATGCTTGCATGATGGGTTTCAAAAAAAGTTGCATATGCTTTGAAGCAAGCTTGCACGGCTTAAAAAAAGCGGGGGGGTTGGGGGGGGCGCAGCCCCCCCCATTTGCAAACACAATGCGTGCATGATGGGTTTCAAAAAAAGTTTCATATGCTTTGAAGCAAGCTTGCACGGCTTAAAAAAAGCGGGGGGGTTGGGGGGGGCGCAGCCCCCCCCCATTTGCAAACACAATGCTTGCATGACGGGTTTCCAAAGTTTATGCTTTGAAGCAAGCTTGCACGGCTTACAAAGCGGGGGGTTGGGGGCAGCGCAGCCCCCTGCATTTGCATGTGCATGATGGGTTTCAAAAAAATTTTCATATGCTTTGAAGCAAGCTTGCACGGCTTAAAAAAAGCGGGGGGGTTGGGGGGGGGGGGGCAGCCCCCCCCATTTGCAAACACAATGCGTGCATGATGGGTTTCAAAAAAGTTTCATATGCTTTGAAGCAAGCTTGCACGTTGGGGGGGGCGCAGCCCCCCCCATTTGCAAACACAATGCCTGCATGATGGGTTTCAAACAAAGTTTCATATGCTTTGAAGCAAGCTTGCACGGCTTAAAAAAAGCGGGGGGGTTAGGTCGCTGAGGGGGGGGGGGGTAGCATATGTATATATCTTATATAAACTATATATATTCTATATACTATGTGTATATATGTATATATAGACATACGCTGAGTATATTTACTATAATATACATATATATATATATGATGTACTATATATATATATGTTTGTTATCTGTACTATGTATTCCAGATATACTATATCTACTATATATATATATATATACTGTATGTACTGTATCTCCTATATATCATATTTATATATACTATAAACGCTATATATGTATACTATGTAGACTATACATCGAGTATATATACATACTATATAATTTCTTACATGTATGTCGTCCATGAAATAAGTACCTATATATATCTAGCAATATATATATATATAACACAAGTCCAGGAAACCATGGACACCACGAAGCAAGGAACCAAGGAAACCATGGAAACCATATAAACCATGGAAAGCATGGAAACCATGGAAACCGTAGAAACCAAAGAAACTATAGAAACCAAGGAAACCAAGGAAACCAAGGAAACCAAGGAAACCAAGGAAACCAAGAAAACCAAGGAAACCAAGAAAACCAAGAAAACCATAGAAACCATAGAAACCACGGAAACCATGGAAACCACACAAGCCAAGGAAACCACGGAAACCATGAAAACCACAGAAACAAAGGAAAGCATGGAAACCAAGGAAACTAAGGAAACCATAGAAAACCATAGAAACCATAGAAACCACGGAAACCATGGAAACCATAGGAACCAAGGAAACCATGGGAACCAAGGAAACCAAGGAAACCATTGAAACCATTGAAACCAGAAATCCCTTGTAAACAGTACTAAACCAAGAGAAACGCGTTCCAAAATGACCCCTTTACGCGTTCCAAAATGACCCCTTTACGCGTTCCAAAATGACTCCCTTACGCGTTCCAAAATGACCCCTCTCCCCTCGAAAGACACGCCAGCAATGTGAACTTTGCTTGACCACAACAAGCCAGCACCATCCAGCACCCACATCACATGATGCCTCCTTGTCCGCGCATTCCGCGCTCGTCGCCATTGCGTCGGAGCATGAGAGGCGGCCGGCACAACTCAAAGACACAAGATGGCACAAGTGCTTCAAGTGCTTAAGATTGGTTGAGACACTTGTGTAGTTTGGCCGCTTTCACCTTTGATCTTCACGAGGCTTGCATACTCTGCTGAAAGTGTGAACATATGTGCACCGTGCATCGAACACTCACCCACTACCACGACCTCCAAAAGTGTTCGCAGAACCGCTGCATGCAAAGACTTGCCAAGTGCTACTGCACCTAGCAAGCCCCTTACCACGCTCCAACATGGAGTATGGCTGGCATGACAGCAGCACGCCTCCTCCGTCAAAGCGTCGCTGATAATTGCTGTCATAGCTTTCTTGGACTGGCACGGCACATGAAGAGCAAGCACGTGGCGACTGTGGCGACTGTGGGAGCCCATTGCAGTTTCGCTCAGGGCGCAAAGCAATTTCAGACCTCGGTATAGGTGGCGTTCTCCTCCGAGTAGTAGCGGAGGTAGTCATCCACAACAGACTGAGGCCCGCGGAATGATACCGGGATGTCAGTGGATATACAGTGATATACAGAGTATATCAGCGTATTACAGACACTCAGGCTCTTCTGCGCGAACAAGGGCCACACCAGGAGATGTGCGACAACCTCCCCTTGCGCAGGCTCCGACGAAGACCTGGGTAATGTGGACGTGGAACAACGAGCTTTCAAGCAGCTGAATACAACTTAATCGTTACATGCCGCTACGTTGTAGGACCTTAGGGGAACTGCGGCAACTATTTGGAGAACTCACGAGAGCCAGGCTGCACTTCATTTCTGACCGCCCGCAAAGCTGCACCTCTCTGTACTCATGAGGAGTCAGGTTTTTGACGGTTTAGTCGCCCTTACCAAGCCATGCCTTGTGTGCAAGGCCAGAGAGCGACAAGCACAAGCGGTAGCAGCATTCCTCCGAGAGGGGATGCCGTCTGACAGTCTGACAATCTGACAGTCGCTCTGACACTTCACGGCCTGCGGTCGGACCCGGGGTGCCGTCACGACATCCCCACAAGGATCCAGCTGCGAGCCGATACCGGATGGCGTCAAAGCTCGTGGATCTCACAAAACAACATCGACTTGCACCTCGCACATCCTTGCACCACCTCCCCTTACTGGGCCGGAGAGGTCTTGTCAACCCCTGCAAGAGACCTCAGAGACCTCAAGAATGCAAGAATGTGACTGCGCCTGCTTTGATAAACACAGCTGAGCAGCGAAGAACTTCAGGCAAGTTTGCGTTCCCAGGCAAAAAAAACACGCCAGCGGATGCTTGAAACTCTCCATGCCATTCCCTGCCCCTTCGGCACTGTCAGCGAGCTGCAAGCACCTTGTGCAACTCGACATCTTCGCATAGACCCGACAGAGAGCACAGTGACACAACTGGTGCTGACGCTGATGAGTTGCTTATTTTTTGCCAGCACGACAAATAAAAACACAACAGAGGGAAAATGAAAGCATGTTCGCTTTGCGACTTGCTTCCTATGATCATGAATGCTCTGGCGCCACATGGCGCGAGCAGGCGTTTGCAAGGAAACTTGAAGCTGCCTGCGCACTGCAGCCTCAAAGCGGAAGCACTTTTGCTTGCCGCCAACTGTTTTTTACAAGCGGAATTCGCATAGCTCCTGTTCTCCAGCGCGCCGCCATCTGCCAGATAGGGAAATTCGACAACCTGTGGCCACCGAGTCACTGCAGAACAGTGAGACCGCTAGACTTCTGGGGCTGTCTTTGCTGCCGTCATGACTGACTCCTAGTAACCATTGCACCAGTCTGCGTTTTGCAGTGGGCATAAGTGAAACCAATTGCGAGCAGGTCCTCACTGCGCCAATCTCGAATCTCTGATGACTGTAAATTGTGTCTGCTTGAGTTCCATTGCGTTCCAGCGCGATCAGTAAGCATGTGTATACATGTGACGGGAAAGCGTCCATCTCACAGGCCCTGATTTAGGACAGCGACGCATGGCCTTGTTGCCACGGGTAATCCACCGCAAGGGAAGCGCTAGCAGGTTCATGCACACAGAATTCCTGTGAAGCGGGCCAAGATCGCGGATACCCATCCAGTTGTCTGGAGCCTGCGGTATGGCGCGGCTTTCACCGACAATGATCATGAGCCACAGGTTCTACAACAATGTGCCACAAGCACATGGAGGCCTCAAAGCTTGTCCGCTCCATGTACTTCAAGAGCGCGACGCTCGGTCCGTCCTCATGGCCACAGAATGCCGTGGAGCAGGACCAGGATGAATCAATGTATGCAGCACGGCACACCTACAGCATCCTACAGCCACAGCACATTCCACGAAAGTCCTCCACTCCGAGCATGTCTCTGGTGCGAGCTAGCATTCTTTGTGCCACCTGACAGGCAAAAGCGAAGCGAAAGCAAGCAGCCACGAGATGCCAATAAGAGAAGAGGGATCAGAAAAGCCTGCCACTCTCCCTGCGAGTAATTCTGGTAGCCCATGTTGAAGACCTCGAAAGGGGGTGAACAGCACAAAAGACCAAAAAGCTCGTTGAGTAGCCCTCGCGGCACATCTCACCCCAACTGCTGAAGGATATTTATTGGACTTTTGGATATACAATGATATACGCACGCAATCACCCAGTATGCGCTGCAGCCGATTTTTCCCGAAGTCACCCTTCTTGGGGGCCGGGCATGGATGAACTCCAGCGTGTATCGGAAGCGCATGGAAGCGATGTCTGTCAAAACGAGGCACAGATTGAGGGCTGATGAACAGACTTCTGCAGCATGCAAGCCAAGCAGTAGTCCTGCATTCTCGTTGAAGAGGTTCACCATTTTGACCTGAAAGCAACACCATGCGTGAGAAGAGCATGTCTAGGGACCATGACTCTGTCTGCAAAACACTCTTCGAATGCTCAACACAAACTTTCGAGATCTGCCATGCATGCACACCATTCGATACAGACGAAGGAGAACCTGCTGTCAAGTGTGGGGCACAGACAGCTAGCTACGGGACCAACGCACCAGCAGGTAAGAAGATCAGTGTTGCAGAACCTATGTAAGGAAACTGTAAGCTGATTGAACCGCACTTGTACGGCCAGGAAGTGGTCCTGAGGTAGTTTCATGTCGATGTGCCTGGGCATGGAAGGCCCGTTGATTCATGCGGACGGGCGAAATCTTTTGAATTTCTCCACGTTGAAGCCCACGCCCCCGACCTCCAATTCAGGGTTCTTTGGCCTTTGCGCCCCTGTGTTGAACCGTACGTCGAGAAGGAACAATGGAACAAGCAGGCTTCACCCTCTTGTGCCCAGCCATATGTGGGTGGTTGTCAAAATTAGGGTCCCTTTTTGGATCCCTATTACAAAACAGCACCTGATATTTAGGGTACCCGAAAAGGGATCATAATCTTGACGACCACCTTTTGGCAAGAGGGTGTAAGCCGACACAGGCGGCTGATAACCTGTAGCTTGAGCCGGGCTTTCAACATGCACATTCCTACCACTGGCTGGTGGCACTCCTGCAGAAAATGACATCGATTGCTAAATATCACATCTGCACATGTTACTTCGCGAGCGCGAGCATGTGCGTGACAGTGGATCATCGAGCATCTTAGTTTCCTCAAGCGTACGCACATTGTGAAATCGAATTCGAACTTGTTCCACACCAAAAGCACCATGATTGAGCATCCAGGCATCCAGAGGTCCTATCCCGAGACGCACTCCACATGCGCAGCGGTGTACCCTCAACAGCTAGAAAGGAGCGTGAGCGAGGGTAAAAGACTTTCAGCCAGTGTGCGGTCATGATAGGGCTGTGGTCATGATAGGGGTGGTGCCAAACCGCAAATGAGCAGCAAAAAAACACCACCGAGTACCAACGCTGCCCCACCCGAAACGCCGAACCCAGATCCACATTCGGTGGACAGTGCATGTCAGCATGTGATATCGCATCAATGCCTGTGTGTACTTGCTCTACATTGGGGCGTGCCAAGGCGTGCCAAGGAACACCATCAGCGAGCTTCTGATCTTTCTCGTGTTCGAGAAACTGTCTCACCTCCAAGTCACTAGGAACCCATGTGCGGAATGACACTGAATAGCACTCCCACAACACAATCCAACATGCTCTCTGCCTTAAACCTATCTTTGGTCGTCCAGCGTTGGGGCCCCAAAGGTGGCTCCACCTCAGTTTCGTCACGCTCTCGCAAGAACTGCGCAACATACTGCAAAATAAAATACTGCCAGAGAACTGCGAGAGGAGGGCTCATGCTAGGACCCCAACTGTAAGGCTCATGTAGTCTAGGTCAATCACGTAGAGGTCCATTGGAACCACGGACCTAACTTGGGGTTCCACATGATTGAGCATGTTGCAAATCATGCGTGAGCACATGGGCGCGTTTTCAGAGCGACGTCATGTGCAAAAAGGCCCCCGACCCAGTGATGATGACCCGGTCGATGAGCCTGCACTTCGCCGCCACCCCCGCGGAGCAGATGGACACAACCGACTCCGCAACCTCATTAGGCAAGAGAATGGCAGGAAGCAAAAGGACATCCTGAAGTTGCTAATGTAGTAGCTGCACGTTGTCTGGGATCAGAGCCAACAAGCTAACGCCGTAGATCTGCGTTGCCCGCTCCACTGTCTCGGCAATGCTGACCTTTGCATGTGAAGCAGCTTCTAACCCGCAATGACATTCAAAACCCTCAATTGCCCTTAACCTGGCAGAGGCCAGGCGGTGTGCCGGAGCGTCAGGTTTTGTTGCTCCAGCTTGTGGTACCTGCTCGTGCCTCGATACCCTGCGCACGAGCAAAAGCGCAACTTCACGTGCCAGCGGCAAGAGGACGAGGACCCTCATGGAGGAAGTTCGACACGACGCAAGCAACGAATGAAGATCTCGCCATCGGCATGGGCTCCATGGCTTCCGACCGATGGCTTCCGCACGGACTCGGTGCGTGCTTTTTTGCCCAAGAGTGGGGGCCATCACCTCCTGTTGCAACTTGCCATTACACGTCGCTCAAAGCTTCGAAGGCTTCATGTACACTTGCCGACTCTCAAGGCAAGTCGTCATGCAATTTTGCCGACTCTGCTAGACAACCACCTTCGAACGTTTCATAGTCATCTCACTCGAACCTGCCGGCAAGCTGGAGGCTGACAGCGGAGCCGATCGAAGCTTTCTCCATCTATCATGTTTGGTGGAATGTCAATCCAAAAGAAGACCACCCACGCACACCTCCGTAATGGTGTATGCTACAACATCCTGTACGTGTGTTTTTCTCAGCCTCTCTGGCTAGCATGCCAGGGCTGGATGGAGAGCTTGATACATGGATGGACTTAACCGGCTAAATCCGGCTAGCACCCAGGAATGCCTGTGCAATGAGCAATGCTGACATCGCGAAGTGCAAGCTGGATTCACACCATGTCCAGAAGCCAAGGCGACGGCATTTGGCGAAAGGTATGATGCGTCAATCTTGAACTCGCTACCCACCGCTCCTGGCACAAGCTGAATGCTTTCTTGCTGCAAAGCAAACTCAGTGCCGTTTACTCAGAGTCTCGGGAAGCTCATGAGATTCTAAGTTGCTGGACGTCTCTAGACATTCTAGACATGAGGTCTGTTGAGCTACGGAGCTGTGCCAAATCAGCAGAGATGGTGTTTCGCATTTCAGAAAGAGCGGCTTGACCAGACCAGTCCTTCGATCGCCCAGCCATAGTGCAGGCCACTGCTGAGGTTCACCCTTGCAAGGACACGCTTCGCAATGCCTTCTCACTCAAGAAGGCATTGGCTTCTTTGAAGCTCTCGGATAGCACCTGCAATTCTTTCCCAAGCGCTGCTGCAGACCAGGGTGACCTTAGAATCGCTGATCCTAATGCTACCTGGCTGCTTCGTAGAGAGCCTGAGCCCGGAACCGCGGTACGCCGCCAGCACTGGCGTCCGGTGAATGGCACCGAGAATCCTGAAGCAAAGGCCGACGAAAATTGTGTTGGAGAGTCACCATGAGGCCGCCCTGTAGACACGTAGAACTGGAAACATCATTTAAGAGGCTAGCTAGCAGCTAGCGTCTATACAGCACAAGGTCTTTGACGCCTAAGACATCCAAGCTTGGCAGACTTACGCTCGCATGACCATTCTCATGCTCCCTCCTCGTGAAAGCCAGAATGGACATGTCGGCCAGCTTGGCGACCTGCATGCGAGCAGGTTCGTCACATCAAAAGCCTGAAAAAGACCACCATTTGCTAGGCCGAAGGTACGACGTCCCCGTAAACATGGGTACGTAGTTGTTGCGCCTAAACTAAACCAGCATCTACCTCTGGCCTTCTCATCGTCACCGGACACTCTCCAGATCATGAGGAAGGTATCGCCTGCCCAAATGTTGCCAGTCCAACTCGAAATGATGCGGCATAAGCCACTGACGGCAGCAATGCATCATGTTCGGTGCATGCAACACATGGCTGCGTCACCATTGTTCTTGTTGGCTGCGCCGTGGAACTCGTCAACGACCCCGTGAACAATCTGGCGGCAGCGACTTGCTACATGCCCCAGCTCAGCTGTGTGCCGAGGTCTTGCCCACTCCAACCTCTGCTATCTGGTTGACAAAGGTCATCACCTTGGCCTGCAGCACCTGGCACGAAGAACCAACGATGAAACTTGTCACCACAAGCTAGATTGGCAGGCCTCTGTTGCAGTGCTGAAATCACGTATTCGCGTGGCACCGATGATGCACTCCACCCGAGTTCCCTCCACCATGGCCTGGCACTTCGTGAGGCTGCCCAACCTAGAGACCTAGAAGTTCTAAGCCTGTGAGCTCGGAGATGCCCGGAGTGTATCAAAATGTATCAAACAGATGTTCCAACCAGGCTGGGCCACATCTACACAGGCACTGTCGACGCCGTGCATGTTGTGCTCAATGATGTTTGCACCAGCCTGGTCATAAACGAATTACAGGGCTTAAACTTGATTCATCATCACGCCAAGTAGATGAGCAAAACGCAGACCTCTCCGAAGCCAAGGGCAAGGAGGGATCCTAGCTTAATGATCGTCTTCTCAAGGATGACCTGAGACAGGATGTTGCCGTGAAGTACAGCACGTGCACTGATCCTCCGAGGAAAGCACCGTCTCCATGATCTCTGCATTCTCTCGTTTGGAGGAGCACCCTATGGACTCCAAGAACACCTGACATCAGGTGCTGCAACTTGAAAATTATCGAATCATTCGAATCTGTCTTGCGCCTGGCAGCGAGTCTTCTCCTGCCACATGCTAGTCATTCGACGGCGTGTGTGCAGCTCCCTGCCTAAGGTGCACGTTGCCAGAACGTGCACCAGTCCTGCTTGGCTGCTTTGGCCCTGTTGATCTCCTCGACCTTAAACTCCTGGTCACGAGGCCGACTGATGCCGCTTCCTTTGATAACTTGCTTCAAAAAAGTCTCACGGCCTCATCGGCCACCTTCATTGCAGCCAAAGGGTTTGCCCGGATCGTCTCCACCTGTCCAAGATCTGTGGGCCGATTTTGATGCAACAGATGCAACATGCGCCCCATTATGCCCCGCCGCTCCCACGCGACAGCCGCCAGCATCAAACAAGCTTTACAAAAGGCCTTGGCGATCATGTTCTCAACAGGGTACAGGACCAGTCGATTCGCATCGTTGGTAAAGCCGATGGAGGCCAGAACTGAGTAACTGAAACCACACAAAGTACGCAAAAAAAGTCATGAGCCACACTGGGCCACACTGGGCCACACTGCACACCTCACATCTCACCATTAAGGACCGCGCGTAGCATGATGCAAACGAACACCACGGTGAGCAGGTTAAACCTTTTTTCCACATTACATGCAGTTCCCCGTCCTCGAGGTGCAGATTCCTACACCCTGAACATGACATCTCTTAAGCCACGTGCACAGACTCCTGCTTCACAAACGGTCGCAAGTCGAAGTAAAACGCAAGGTGGATTTCCTGCGGGAAATGGTGCGCTGCAACCGGTAAGCTTGTGACTGCAAAGGAAAGGAGAATCTTGCACAAGCTTTGACAGGCATGTGCGGTCGTCAGACTGACTTTTCGCGACGTTCAGGCGAGGAGTGTACTTCTTCCGTTCCTTGACGGAATCTATTCGGTCCCCTGCTTCCACTGGATAAGCTTTCATGAACGGCCCGCACCACTGAGACCGGCACAGCTCTTCGCAGGTCATCTGGGCAAGGAACTGCATAGTCTACCTGGGGCTCCACGTGTTTTTCCATCTTGTCTGCAACGTTCTGCAACAACTGCCCCAAAACACTGCCAGTCTAGGAGGCGCACGTGCCACTGACCTTCTGTAAAGGCTTCTGCCAGAAGTGATAGTCCACGCCGCTTCCTGCTGCTACGGGTGATAGCAAGGCTTTAGCAGAAGGCGCGTCAAGTAGACTGAGCTTGTGACTTGTCTTGGTTTTGCAAGGGACAATCTCTGCTCCAGCCTCGCTTAGGCGACTATCTTGGGCTCTAGCCACTCTAGCCTTGCTTGATGAACACAGCATACCCCAAGTCAAGAACTGAGGCCAAGAGTTGTCTGGACCTCAGTTTCAGCCAACTGCACATGTGTTTCCCACTCGTCCGGGTTTCTCTGAGGCCAAGACGTTGGTTGGCATGTGGCCAAAGACGTAGAGCCAGGCCTAGCCCATTAACACACCCCTGAAACAGGGAGGCAAAACCGGCAAAGCAGAAGGCAAAAAACAGAGAAGGCACGGAGGCCACCTGATCACCGACCGACGTCTGGGTCACCAAAGCTTCCATATCTGCCACCGAACTTGGAGCTACCTCACAAGCAGCAAGAAGAAAAAGATGCGCAAAGAGAAATATAGAGAAATATTCAGGTGCGCGCCGCTGCTTTGGGAAGCCTTTCCAGCAGCAATGCCTCGTTCGTGCTCACGAAGCCAACCTGGGAGCTTGCTCCATGAGGCCCGTCGCTGCGACTTCTGGGCTTCCCGAAACACATGTACACCCAGGCCATCTTCGCCAAAGAACCCAGAACACGTGAGAGTCGAAGGATCTCGAGCTGTCACATTGTCGGGTTGCGTCTGTTGTCACGATGGGACAATCGCTCCTTAGCACAAAAAAATCGTTGCTCAACTCCTTCTTATCGTCAAGCGTGGGTCAGCCAAGTGAACGGCAGCTGTTTCGTGTACCAGTTGTGATAGTAGATGTACCTTTAACGAGGAGACACTCTGCGACAGTCTACAACGTGCTTGCGAAGGGCACTCAAGCAATGCCATGTCGTACTTGTCCTTGTCAGAGGTTGAGTTGCCTGAAGCCCAAGGAAAACCCAGAAACAGCCCAAAGGCCTGAAAGCTGAAACGCCAAGTTGGCCCAAGCTGGCGCTGCACACTAGCTGGGCACCAGGCTTGCCAAGTACTGGTCAAAGGCCTTGCAACCCAAAGCTGCGAAGCTTGTAACGGACTGTAACTACACCCTAAACACTGATGCCAGGATCGGCCCCCACATGCCGCTCCTGGTTAACAATATCCGCGCCGTATGCAGCAGAGGTCGGGAACTGCTGAGCCTCTTCTACCTGAACAGCAGAAGATTGGGTGGTGCACCAGCCAGGTAATGCAGCACACATATGACTGAGGCCTTGAGGTATGGGAGCACCAGCATCATCACCAGAACCTCGTTCAATTTTGTCGGGCCACCATAATAAGCTAATAAGTTGACCGGTACCTCTTTTTGGAAGGCTACACCCCTTGCAACATCTTGCAGCAGCGAGACGAGACACAAAATCAACCACCACCAACGAGCCACGAAAACAGCTAAATCAGATGACAAATAAAGACCACCAATAACGCACAATAAACAGACATAAGGATGCGAAACAAAAGCAAACAACAAAAAGAAACGCAAATACATATTACTATACTCAACGCAACGGAAACAGCAAAGGGAACCAACACAACCAAAGCCAAAAACACAGTGGCTCAAAACGAGCCATGTCAATAGGAAATCCTGCATCTAGGCCATTCAGCATCGCCGTAGGTACATGTGCAGGAACATGAGGGATTTTGTTGGAGCACAGAGGACACGAGGATTTTTATGGAAGTTCAATCCAAACGCAAACATGCCAAATGAACTTCTTCCGGTTTTGGCGAACACAGACGTCCAACAGCGACGACAGTTTAGCAGTTTCGTTATTTGAAAAACAAGGCCGTCATAAAGGGACGACAGTTTCGCAATTTCGCGACCACAGAAAGCGACGACAATGTCGCATTTCGCGAAACCAGACATCCACGCATGGTCCAGGCCGTGCGCACCGGCCGGGGCGCCGTGCGGCATGATTGGCCAGCCCCCGCCTTCTCTGCACCTTGGAACCGCCCTTGGTGTTGACACACTGTTTGGGTAAAATACCAAGTAAAATTGGGTTTGCAACCAACAAAACTTGTGGGAAAGGCCCCCCTGCTTATGGGAAGGCGGCCTGGAAGGCCTTTGATGGTGAGGCCGCACCGTCCTTACGCTGTAAGGACCCCTCCTACAGAATGAGGCAAGGTGGGGTTTATAGGCCCCGTTTTGACCACCTGACCTGTTTTTTGGATCCCCCCCCCGCCCGCAGCCGTGTAGTTCAACCCAGTGGTTGGTTACATCATGGAATGAATTGAGCAGAAGCTTCTGAATTTACTCTTAAGAACGTCATGATGTCAAGGAGTGCTTCGTTTATGAGCACGCCAAGACCATCATGGATGAAGCTATTTTGAGATTCTCTATCGGAAACCGACGACTTCTTGATTGAAACGACAGAGTTTCATAATGAAAGCGAGAACTTTCTACAGAAGCTTCAAAGGAGATCCAGGAATTCGTTCCGAGAACCGAGTACAGTCAACGCATAAAAATTAGCTTTGCAGCCCTTCTCAACTAGGACCTCCAAGCCTTACAAAGCTTTGACACTTTGATTCTCCAATGGCTACCTGTCCAGGCTAAGGCCGTCACTAGTAGGATCACACGCCGTGTGGTCAGCTCGGAGAGCTTCTTCCCAACCTATGACGGCCAACAAAGCTCCATTGTCTAGCAAGGTAAAGCAAGCGAAAAAGAAGCAAAGAGGCGTTGCCGCACATGCCCTGTGATTGAGTCTCCGGCGCGGCTCTCCTTGCCTGGTGCCTTTGTCATGCTAGCCTCCGATTCGCACAGCAGAATGCTTTGTCCGCTGAAAGCGTCATTCTATACGAGTTACACATAGTTCTACCGATCAATGAACGGATATGTACACTATCAAACCTCCAGCCCTGCTTGCCAACATCAAAACCAGACAGCTGTTCGTGCGGGTCATGCATCGTCATACAGATCAGCAACGAGATGCACACACACACACACACACACACACACACACACACACACACACACACACACACACACACACACACACACACACACACACACACGCACGCACGCACGCACGCACGCACGCACGCACGCACGCACGCACGCACGCACGCACGCACGCACGCAAGCACGCACGCACGCACGCACGCACGCACGCACGCACGCACGCACGCACGCACGCACGCACGCACGCACGCACGCACGCACGCACGCACGCACGCACGCACGCACGCACGCACGCACGCACGCACGCACGCACGCACGCACGCACACACCCCATCCCGACCCGTCAGGCAAGGGCACGCAAGCTTCTGTTAAACGTGGAGGTCAGGGGACAGGGCAGGGCCTGTCCGCTTCTGGGCAGGAGGGGTGGGGGACTAATTAAGGAGGAAGATTCAATTCCAAAATCATTACTTTGCCTCATTACTTAGGTGAGCAGAGGGCGCGATGGCTCCCGGGGTGAAGGAGAGAATGGGAAGTTGCTTCCAAACTCTCCAGACGATGCACAACCGTCGGGCCAAGCTAAAGTGCCAAAACATTCAAAGCCCCCACGGTACACATCTCATGTCAACTTGGCCTTATGGCTTCACTGATTCGATTGTCAGGCATGAGGACGCTATCAAGACAGCTTCGTCGCACAGTCTGCATCACTGTGCATCCCACAGGCCTGCTGGACCTTCAGGGGGGAGAATGGCTCCACTCTGCACTTTGAAGCTGCAAAAGGCTTGCCATGCAGCCTCCATGTCATCATAGGAATCCTCATCATCGTTCCCCGGATACATCTGCTCGAGGGTGATCTGCTTTGCAAGCTCCTGACCACGGGCATCTCAAGCGGGTTTAGGGCAAAGGTACAATCAAAGCCGCTAAAAGCCGCTATAGCAGCTCCCGGCCTCCTTCTTCTTCTGCAACTGCCTAGCCTCATAAATAGCCTTGTACAACTTGATGATTCTGATCAGCCTGTGACACAAAGATCAGATGCGAGTCAAAGTCAGAAGCCGTCAATGCAAGAAGCATGCCTCAGGACTCGAACTACTCGAGAGGTTCTAGCTCCAATCTTCGCAGTTCCAGAGACCGACTGATCATTGGACATATCCTGCACAGGACTTGCACATGCAGGGAACGACGGTACAAACTGACAGGTCAGATGCCTCTTCGTCTCCCTGAATGCTGTCTGCGATCCACGTCAGATCTAGCACCTGTGAGCTGCTAGCATCATGATTCTACAAGGCCAAGGCCCAGGGCTAAGGCCCAGGAACAAAGCCCAATGCCCACGAGTGGTCAAATGTCAGGGACCCTCAGCGGCCGACTAAGGTGACCGTCGAGATGATGTCCAAGAAAAAGAAGAAGCTAAGAATGTAGTCATCCTGAGGATATGTCTCATCCGGCTTTCATTCAGACAGCTTCACTTCAAGAAGGCCGTTCTCCTTCGCGAACATGCACAGAACGATCTCCAGGACGAAGACAACGATGCAAAACAAGGTCAGCCCATCAAAGACCTGGGCAAGCAAAGGACAGTCGCTTCGGTGGTCTTGAGGCAACATGAAACAACTTGCAAATGGAAGGTTGCCGACGGGATCCGCTGGCTGGTGGGTGAGCAGCAACCGAAAATCGTCGCCGGTGAGGGCATAAATCTTAGTCGCATCTTCGAAGGGCTCCAGCATTTCACATGAGAAAATTCTGACACGTTTACATGACTGAAGCCCAGACTGTCAGGAGCGTTGTCAAAACAGTGAAGAGTCTGTGCTCCACGACGTAACGCGTCGCTCTCAACTTGGGGCGTGGTCAAACTGTTGCAGGCGAAGCTCAGATGTCATCACAAATACATGCAGCCGCTTCTTCTCAGGTTGCCACGACAAATGGATGGACAAGACTAGGTTTCTGCCTGCATGCAGCTACCCTCTTCTCTTCCCTACTTGCGCAGCGGCTTCGATCTCAATCTGAGGAAAGGACTGCCGCATGCCTTAGAATACACTCTCAAACTAGAACAACAAGTTTGCACGAAGCGTTTTGCCCTGAAAAAAACCTCGACACATGCAGCTTCACGAGTCCCATGATACAACTGAAGCCATTTGTACCGAGATCACGGCCCATCTTCGAGATGGTTGTGGGCTGCGTGCGCAGCCTTTGCGAAAGACAAAAGCCAAAAAGAGTGTCCTTCGGATCCCCTCATGCAGCACACCGAAAATGCAGTGCGCAACCAATTCACATCGGAACAAACATAGACTCTTGCATATGCTCTTCCAGTCGCTTTGTCACAAGCATGCGAGTTAGCTGCACAAAGTTCAGAAGTACAACAAACAAGCGAGCAAGCAAGCGAGCAAGCAAGCCAACAGCTCACCCTTCGTGTTAGCACGCACGGGGGGGGGGGGGCTTTGAGTGTCCACAGGCTCGATGGAAGCATGGATGTGGAAACCCTGACCCCCATACCAGGATCAACTGCCGGCTGTTCATGCAAGTGTCAACTAACTTCCAAAAACCTCTTGAAGCTTCACTCCTGAAGATCTACCGCAAGAAATGCTGAAACGCCACACCCCCAAAACCCTGAGCTCAAACAATTGTGCAGAGTTTGACTCACTCAAGACATTCAACAGCTGCGGGTTTTCACGCCCGCAACCTCGATTAAGCCTTCACGGGCCTAACGATATCCTAGGCATGGTAAAAGGCAGGCAAACACCAATGGCTTGTGTAAGGCCACTAAGGCCGCTAAGGCGTAGGCATTGGCCGGCCATCGGCCTACCAGCACAAACAGCCAACATGCATGCAAAACGCGGTTCAATTCCTCAGTGTCAGGTGTAGCGCAAGGACATCCGATTGCCAAGCATGTTGTGATCTTCTTGTCTGTATCTGCCTGGCTCCGCCGGTGAGGCTGCTCATGAGGCACCGGTGAAAGGACCTTCACTCCCGACCTCATCTGCAAAAGCAAAAACCACCCATCTAAACCCATCTGGGGACTCTTGCATAAAAACCATGCGCTCGGTGCACTTGGCACCTGAGGGCCCTGGGAGCCACGCTGCATCTTGAAGGTGGGCCCAAGCCAGGCTCGGCCATCACCTCCCTTTAAGCCAAATGCGGCGAACCAACGGGACAGATATCATAGTCTGGCATGCACGTGCTTGCACAAACTTGTCACGTGAATTGCATTGCACGCGCTCAACGCGTTGCAAACCTGCATGACGAATGACGCCTGCGACCATAAAAAACGCAATTGATGCACTCAAGGCGAACAAGATGGGGGCATGCATTACATCGACTTGCAGACCAACAACAAAAGACTGACGTGAAAGAAGGTTTACAGCAGTAACCAAGCAGCGCATATGATTGAAACACCAACTACGATTCTCCCGAACTTGAACCGCAAGTCTGCAAAATTCACCGATGCTGTGCATCAACTGGTGGGCAGTTCATTTAGAAGCAGTGAACATGGGCGGTTCTTCCCTCCAATGGTGAAAGCCTGAGGTATTCGACTGGAATGGGCCTGCAAACACTGCATCCATCACCCGGTATCCAGCAAATCCCGCTGTTTGCCCCGACACCCACCAAGAAGTGAAACTCACCCGGACGCTGCGCGTATTCACATGAATGACTACTATTTGCTTAAGAACCCCCGAACAAATCGACGACAAAATTCCTACTCTATATTGCCCTTGTTGGAAAAAATTTGCAAGTCATGCTGGGGGTGCACTTTGCAGTCAATGCGGTGGGCTTGCCATAGCTTGCAGCTTGCACTTCCGAACGCAGCTACGTGCTCGGGCGCGGGATTTGCACGCAAGTGCACAAGGCTCTCCTGGTTGGCCCCATCGGGCTCCACGAGCTCGGTTTGGCACGTCCAAGCTATCTCAGAGCCCAGTGTCTTCGCCTGGACGGGGGGGCGTACTGCAATGGCTGCAATGAACGCACGCGGCGTGAGGCCCTTGCTCGAGCGACACCAGCGAAAGCCCACTGCCAAAGAAGAGAAAAAATGCCACCTGTCGAACGGAGACCGGGCCAAAAGGCGAAGAAGAGACACACACACACACACACAGAGCACGCAGAGTGCAACGAGCCACTGTGCAGGCGCATCTGATCGAATCTGGCACATCTACTCTACCTCTGTGTGACAACCACCAGCACAAGCCGCAATTCACATGCTGAACTTTCAGGTGCAAGCATCTATCGTAAACGCGTGTGTCGGAGCTAATTTGCTGTGTTCGACGCACGACACCGCCATGACAGAAACGCCACATCCTGTCATTGTGGAAGGTGAAAGCAAAAGGTGAACCCGCCTTCTCGTTTCCCTTGTGACAGTGGAAAGCCCCAAGCCCGTCAAGAAGTTACTACGCAAGCACTACTCTCGAGTCGCAGCCATTTGGCGCCCTGGCACACAAGGGGTGCCACCCTCAAGCCCTGATAGCCGAAGCCACATGCTCTAGGCTCAACATTTGCGCAAGACTCGGAAAACACAGAAAGAATTTGGCAAGCCAAAGCTTCAAATTCAGCACCGTTCAGTCTGCTTGCCTGCACCATCCCACTATTAGTGTGTGACAGCCCGTCGGCTTTAACTTCGAACATTCCTTTGTTGCAATTTGTTGCAAGATAGACAACTTCCCAAACATGTCTTCTGACTTCAGATCTATACGCTCTGCTCAATTAAAAAACCCCAAGCCTGCAACTCAATGAAAAACACGAATCGGTTTCCGAGCAGCCTCTAAAGCTTTGAGAGCGGTTGCCAGAGACTGCAGGGGTTGGAGCCAAAACTGAACTGCAGGGGACCGAACTATGATGAAAATTATAAAAAAAAAGCGACACCTGCACTAGAGACCGCAATGCAGGGGCAAAGGCTTAAACTAGTGATAGCAGGGACCAAAGCATTGAATTATGGGTCCAAAGCCCAAAACTTCTAAAATGAAGGTTGCATGGCGCCGGAAACCTAAAACTTCAGGCCTAAAGGGTCCTACAATGTCAGCATAGGCCCCAAACACTGAAAGACCATGTAAGCCTAAAACGATGACAGGTTCGCATTTCGTGAGCACAAACATCCAAAGGCGACGGCAGTTTCGAAGATCGCCATGTCAAGCCAAAAAAACAAATGTATGCACTTTTTCTCGAACATCCCAAAATTAGTGTTTGATCTGAATAGTCCCTTTTTGTGCCCACCCCATTGTTGCCAATGTTTTTGTTTCGGAAGTATCTCAAACTCAATTTTCTGAGATTACGTTGCGGTTGCGTGACCGACATCAGACAATGCTTGTGTATTCGCCATTGGATGTGGCGGTTCCGCGTAAGAGTTCGATAAGTAACCGTTTTTTGCCTCTGGGATAGGTACCTATTTTATAGGTCTATCTGGAGACGCATAGAACCTACCCCTACCCGTCAACCCCCAAGGCCCATAGATCCCTATCTACAGGGGTCTATCTGAAAGCAACAAATCCCATATGTGGGCTAGGACCCCTCAGATAGGTAAAAAACCCTAAGCCCAAAAACACCCTGAGCCCTAAAAACCCCTAAAACTAATCCCAAAAAACCCTAAACCCTAAAGACCCCGAACCCCCAAACCCTAAACACCCCTAACCCCTAAAACAACCTGAGCCTTAAATAATACCCCCGAACCTAAACCCTAAAGAGCCATATACCCTAAACCCGAAACCGCACAAATCCCTGAGCCCTAAGCCCAAAAAACCCTGCACCCTAAAAGCCCTAAACTCTAAACCCAAAAAAACCCCTAACCCCTAAACCCGAAAAACCCTAAGCCACCAAACCTGAACCTAAAACCTGAAACCCTTGTTCAGCGAATCTGTGCTGGCCTCCGGGTTCACGTACCCTTGCACGCCACTTCTACATCTTACGCAGTTGCCAATGTGATGTCAGCAGGAGGGGTCGCTTTCCAAGGCGCAACGTTCATGCTTGACTTCATTGCGGACAATCTGCTTTAGCTCTACTGTCCCATCTCATATCCCCTCAAGAAATCTCGAACGCTGACGCCCAAGGCACCAAACATTGCATGTAGGCTCGCGCTCAAGGACTGCCTCAAGAGGAGATGACAGACACAACCCCTCGTCGAGAGGGGAAAGCGGCATCGCAGCATGAACGAGCAACGTCGCATCGTCATCGACATGTCTGAGTGTAGGAATCACAAACCTACTGGCAACGACACCTCTGCAGCTGCCGCTCAAGCTCGTGGCCCGGCCCGCCACAGCGTATCACCCATGTCCGACGCTGCCAGCCAGCGAAGCCTATCACACGCAGCTCGGCAGTCCAACAAAAACTTCATGTACGCATTGTCGGTTTTGCACGACACAGTTTCAGTAAAACTGCCTGCCCCCCAGGTCCAGCTGCATGGAACGACAACCGCCAGAATCTTGTACATCGATGTCGCTGCCCACGTGACTTTGGAAAGGACCAGTTGCTCTTTGTTGCTTGAGTGATAGCATCAGCCAGCTGCAAGTTCTGCTCTGCCTGAGCCTGAACGGAAGCAGTTGTTTCTCGCGGAGGCCACACCTCAGAGTCTTCCAAAATATCCCTCATGGATCCATCTGTCCATTTGTCGTATCAAGACAGTGCCCCGGAGACTTCATGCCGAGGTATGTTCCCTGCTCCCCCCTGGAACGCCCCTTGATGTCAGGCGATCGTTTGTGTTCCCAGATTTCGCATCTTGACGTGAAAGCATGCATCCCAATCAATTTCC